TGTGTGTTCGTCTGTGTATGTACGTTGACCCTGACCCGTATGTGTCTACCAGTATGACGTCAGTACCTGTACTTGTTGGTTTGGCGATGCCGCTGATCCGGCTGCCCCTCCTTTAGGAGGCGTGAGACTCCCGCCCCCGCTGCCGGATGGTTGAGAGTTCGAAGCTCCAGCTGAACCTGCCGCAGAACTAGAGGGGCTGTTGCCGAACGGGCTGCTGTTGGAAGGGGAGGAGCCGCTACCTCCTGAACCTCCAGTGGAAGGACCCGAGTTCCCGCCTACGCTCGAGGTGATACCGCCAGGGTTAGAACCTCCAGAGGCACCACTGCCACCAGTTCCGCCCCCACTACCTCCTGAACCACTTCCACCGCTTCCAGAGCCGCCCCCACTACCCCCTGAACCACTTCCACTCCCAAACGGGCTGCTGTTGGAAGGAGAGGAGCCGCTTCCTCCTGATCCACTACCTCCTGATCCACTACCTCCTGATCCACCCCCTCCACTGCCACCAGACCCCGATCCACTTCCACTTCCGCCATTTCCGCTACCGAAAGGACTGCTGTTTGTTGGCTGGGAACCCCCGCTTCCCCCTGAACCTCCTCCCGAAGGACCCGAGTTCCCACCTGTGCTCGAAGTGATACCACCAGGATTGGAACCCCCAGCAGCATTCTTACCACCTGCAGCACCACCGCCTGAACCACTTCCACCACTTCCCGATCCACCCCCACTACCTCCTGAACCACTCCCACTGCCAAAGGGACTGCTGTTTGATGGTTGGGAACCACCACTTCCACCTGATCCACTTCCACCTGATCCACTACCTCCTGATCCACCTCCGCCTGATCCACTACCTCCACTGCCACCTGATCCCGATCCACTTCCACTTCCACCATTTCCACTACCGAAAGGACTACTGTTTGATGGTTGGGAACCTCCACTACCTCCTGATCCACTACCTCCATTTCCACCAGATCCACTACCTCCTGATCCACTTCCACTCCCCCCGTTTCCTCCATAAGGACTGGAGTTTGAGGGGGCTGAGCCAGAACCAGACCCACTCCCACTGGCTCCCCCGGAGGCGGGGTTTGGCTTAGTGCCGATAGGACTGCTGTTGGACGGGGATGATGAGCTTCCACTTCCACTTCCGCCTCCACTTGGACTACTTCCGCTTCCACTTCCGCTTCCACTTCCGCTACCACTCCCGCCTCCATTTGGGCTGCTTCCGCTTCCGCTGTTACTATTCCCGCCCATGCCCCCTCCACCAGCACCGGACATTCCTGTCGCCCCAGATGACGCAGGGTTGGCGATGCTGCCCGGATTGCCGGGGTTCGCGCCCGAGGGACTGGATGGGTTCCCCCCGCCTGGACTGCTGGGGCTGCCCGCGCCTGTGTTGGAAGTGTACGGGTTCTGGGGGGAGA